TCTGTGTTGAGCTTTTGACTGTACAGTCGTGACAGACAACTTCAGAGCAAGGATCCATCATTTAGTAAATATAACAAAAACATAATAAAATACGTAAAAAGATAGCTGGCTGCAAACTTAGTCTCTTTTTTATACACCAAACTTCGCGATCTTAAACAGGCATCCCATGACTTAGTTGGCAACTTCAACGTTACTCTACCATCTTACAAATAGCTGAAGCTGCTTCACGAACCGGAAGTGCTATTTCCTTGCACAAATAAACTAGTATACGATCATATAATATTGAATCTTGTTTGGGCTTGTGTTATTGTCTCATGTGTGACTATCATGCTCACGCCATGGGAAGTGTGTTAGTCACAGCTAGACTCGGGACTAATTCAGCCTCCTTCTTTTGTTCAATGGCTTTTTCATGTATCCCTTTCTTTCAATCTAATTAAGCCTATCCATCAGCCACAAACGTCTCAACCCAACTTATTAGCTTCTTTGCTCACAAAATCATACAAAGAAGACAATTTATTTTCCTCTTCTAATTCTTTGTACGTCGGAAGGTCAGACAGGACCGTCATAAAAAGTAAATTCAGGCAGCAGTCCTTTTTGTGGTTGTGCCGGGACTCAGGTTTACTCATTGCCCAAGTACGAGACCGAGGTGTGGCCACACAACTCGTATTTTTCCGGTGAGATCTTGTTGGTGGGAATAGAATAGCACTAGAAAATGACGTTCTCTTTGGTATTCTCGATAGTTTGCTCATTATGTGGCCAGTAGTACATCGCTGACCAGCGTACTCATAGTTCGAATCCCGGAAAATCGGCACTTATGTGGGCGTCAAAAAGGCCTCGAACCGAAGAAGTACGAGTTTAGGAGCAATTAAGTTTGTTCCCGAAGCCAAGCAACTAATCACAAAAGCACATATCTTAAGTCACACTGTGTCATAATGAATTTGAATTCAATAAGCAGATGTGTATTTTTCATTAGCCTCAATGTACTACTTACACGTTTCTCCGTTAGTAGCAGTTCCGTTTCGTGGCCATCACGGACCCGAATTTCGCCAATGATACAGTTTTTTGAATTGTGAAACTACCAGAGGTCTGTTCACATATCCAATTTTGCTTGCACCTTAAGCGGGGCTCGAACCGTCGACCTGCTTGAGTCCTAAAGCCAAGTAACTCTGGCTAATAAAAGTGCTTCAAGTAAAGTCTTCTTTTAAGAAACTGTATAGCGGTAGACACTCACTTGGTCGATAGACTACTCAGTTTGTGTTTAATAATACAATTTTAATCGGTGGACTCATTGTTCGAATTCCATAATATCGGCTCTTCTGAAAGTGTAAATAAGTCAGATGTACTGTCTTCCCTAGTCCGTTTTTCCTCTGAAAATATCTGTAAGCTACGATCCGAAAGTCGGAGGCGATCTTCGGATCTAACACTCAACTGAACTTGAAGCAGATATTGAATCTGCAATTCGCAATCCTAACGGCAACCAATTAAAATGGTGGAAAATTAACCCCTACCACTTTTACTGAAACTGGCTTCCGTATTGGACTACTAACTCTGGCATAGCTTCCTCTTGCGGACAGCTCTATAGCTGTCCTTGATACATGCGTCTACTTTTAACTGTGCGTGAGGAGTACCGAATCACTCCAAGTCCCTTCAAGCAGAAAGCGGAATTCTTACTGGCTCTTATTTCTTATTATCTACTTTTCAACGGTTTCCTCAAAAAAAGAGCATATTCACGGATTCCCTGAGTTTTCAGTTAAAGCCTTACTTTCGACTTGACCAAAATAGGTTGAAGTAAACAGCTCTCAGTTGTTCTACGCCCAACCACATCATTTTCTCATTTCACATTCTTTGGTGGGATTTTCGATGAAGCAAACGTAATTTTGCTATATCAATCGACTACATCACATACTTGTCATTTATAAACAGATTTTCGAGACAACCAGTAAATCAGTTTTATCAGCTGCCGATTGCGGATTAAGCAAACATGTATACTTGTCAAAACTACTAATTATGTAGTGAGTAGGTCAAATAAAGTGCTAAACGAAGGATAGTTGAATTTGCCCACAATCAAAAGATTAGGTCTTACATTTCCATTGTATTTTCCGTATCCTCTCTTTCTAAAAGGTATTCTCATCCCTGCTGGAATTCTGGTTCTACTTTGTCTGGGTCTCATCAGCACCCCAGCGGGACTCGAACCCGGGTTGTGAAGGTACAACGTATAGTCCTGAAACGTTGATCCATGCGCCAGTGCTAGGAAAGCCCCTGGGTCACAGTGTAAAGTGAATTTTAAGTAATTGAATTCTATATTTCCATATCACATTTCTCTAGTTGGATTGTCGATGAGACAAAATTGTATTTTGGCCTTAAAATCGCCTATGCTACTTATAGTAAAATAAAGTAGATTTTTTAGACCATCAGCAATACTTGAAAGCCTGGTATATCTTGAAATTCACATCTTTTCATGGACCCATGGAAGTGTGGCGAGGTGATACCATGTCGAGATTATACTTTGAACTGCCTGGGTTCGATTCCCACTAGGGGCGTTTATGAGACCCATACAAGGTCGAACCCAAAGTAAAGTCTGGAGGAGAATGGCTTTTTGGAATCAAAGATACGTGAAATGTATTGGAACCATGAGGTCTAATCTTATGATTGCTAGGAAATTCAACTATGAGTCCTTCATCACTTTATGCGATCAATATTGACTATACCTTTTATTAGAGGCGTAACGACAATGCCGTAGCACATAATTCGTCTTGACAACAGGATTCGACTATCAAAACGTGGTTAAGCATAGTATATATGGCAAGAGGAAGTCTTGAAATAGACCATAGGCCACGCCATTTCTAAAGTCATATCTACGAAGATGAAATGGACTTCGAAGTATCTACAGATCTTCCGGTAGGCGAAGATCCTGGTCTGATGTCCCGTCCAAAAGATGCAGACTAACGTGTTCATATCGAGTTCAGCCCCGCAGGTTCTGATAAAGGTCACTTTGCTAAAGTGTAATTCTATTGCTGGGATGTCAGAAACGCAGAATGAAGAATAAAACGACGTCTACATGGCTAAGTTGACATGGCTGGAATAGGAAGAACATGATTGAGATGGTAAACTTTACACCTGCTCTACAGCCGGATTAGCCTATATTCCTGAGGGAAAGACGACTGGTAGTCTTGGGAAATAGAGTTGGGGCTAGGAATGAGGCATAGTATGTCCTATGCTCCTCAAATTGTACCCGTGCTCATTTGTTTTCTCGCCGAATTGACAGAACCTCTGTTCACAGTGAATTGGAGCGAAGATGTGACGGTTGCCTTCCATTTCGCCTCGGCCCACTTCTCGGTAGTTGGTTCTTCTTGTAGCTGAAGCAGACTTTCGAGCTCGTCTCATCAACTCCAACCGTGGAGGTTCGAGGGCAGGTATACAACGTGTTAACCTCCAAGCCACGCAGCCCCGTCCTTTTGCAACTCGCATTATTGCTTGGGGAAACTGGCACAGCCTGAAACAAGTCTGGCTACTACTGAGCATAAATTAAGTAGCATATCAAGTTTCGTGGCAAAAGTCCACAATCCGGCTCCTGATGGGTGTTAGGCAAGCCTGAAGTTGATTTCAAAGCGAAATTTGCCTAACAGTCGTCACATATTCACCAACCTCGGCTGGAACAGTATACCAAATATGTACTTATACCCTCAAACTACTCGAGCAGGCCTGAATGACTGACTGAACGGGAATGTGAGGGGAGAAAACTTTCTCCAAAACCTGCCACGATTAGCCTCAAGATTGGTCCGGAATGGTTGGAAGGGACTCTTTTATACCCTGAACCAGGTTTTGATGCTGTCTAGTTGTCGCTGCGTTGCTGCGCTTACATAGGCATTAGGTTTGAGTTGAACAATGTTATTATTTACTTTTGCCCTACCCCCAAAAGACACATCCAAGGCTCTCCAACAACAAAGCCAAGATGCTCGAAGCCTGAAACCCGTCTTTAAGACAATGAGGCTTTTCGCTGCCTAATCTATCGCCGTCGCCTCTTTTCAAGCTCCGCTACCATGTTTAATTTTCTCATTTCCAAGAGATTACCTGTATGCATCGAACTATTGGCTCACTTTCAATTTGGCTGGGATATAACATCTGGCCGACACGGTATGCCCCCTATTTTGAGGATAGATTGTAAAATAATGTAGCTTTAAGACTGTATAGACTGCAAGGTTAAATATATTAGTTAAGTGCTATTGAAAATTCAGTTTGCATGTGGACTTATGCTGGAGGGACTAATATAAAATGATATTAGGGCTCGGGAAACCTGGAAACAGAGACAGCGTAGACACAAAGAGAAGCTAGGTGTTTACGGGCTAGAGACTCCTGTTTTGCTGTTGGGAAGAACGTAATCGTGGCTTTAAGATTTTTGTTAAAGAGTGATACATTTTTTAGCTCAAAACTAAGCGCCAAACCACTTGAGATAGTGTTTAACACAGGCCCTGGCAACAATTAATCTGAAATATTGGTTAGTAATTCAGAGTTCTCACTTTGCTACTCAATCATACTTACTCTGCACGTGGAGCTATCGTAAGCAAGATTTATAATGACAATTTTGTGCTTTCCGCCTTTCTATCTTTTTCGTCCGTCGCTAATGAGTAGTATTTAAGCCTAAATCGTGGGAACATTATTTCGAAACTAAAGAAATATAGTATTCATATATACCATATGTCGTAGATATAGCTGATCCTAACAAAAATTTTGGATGTCAGAATTCTATTTTTGTTAATTAGCTCTTACCCTTTGTCGACGGGATATACCAGATTTCGCGGTCCGTTAGAAATTTAACCCATAATTTATTGAAAGAGAGACTTGATTTTACATTGCACCATTCATCCAAACAAATCTTTTCAGATAAACTTGACTACACCCATCACTATTACCAGCCCCGCTAGCATTACCACCGGCTCCAGCACCAATACCACAACCACCACATCACTAAGCCCACCACCATCAGCACCATCACTATCACCATCACTAGCATCAACACAACAACCACCAGCTCTTCCAGCCCTACTACAACCAGCACCACTACTACCACAAGCCTAGCCAGCACTATCAGTGCCGCAAGCACCGTTGTCACCATCCTCATTACTACCAAAACCAGCACCGGTACCATCAATACCACTACCCACGGCTCCACTATCACAAACGCAAGCACTAGCAACAGTACCAAATCCACAATAACCGCCATCCTAAAATGTAGACGCAGCGGCCAGAATCAAAGAGGTCAGCCTCAGGATTACGCTAGTTTAGTGTCTTCGAAGATATGACGACCAAGTTTATATGACCAGTCTCCTTTCGATGTATAAAAGTGGGATGACCTCGTTTTGGCAACTTGATAGTGTTGTAGTATGAGGGAGTATGATAAGAGGGTAGGGAGTATAGAGATGGACTGGGACAGAAAGATAAGTGATAGCACAACTGTTGGAGCATAAGGTAGTTCAAAGGATTGAATTCATTTGTCTCTTTGACGAGTTGTGTCTGGGAGCTGATAATGATAGTGCTCACTGACGATGCCGATTAAGATGTCCGCGAAACGTCTATGAATGTACCAAGTCTACGGTCCGACGAT